CGATGTATGTTCGTCAGAGAAACCCTCCATCTTTAGTCTCCATGTGATCACGCAACTGCAACATATCCAAAACGTCGGGTCGTAGGTGAAATAATTTTCAAATAAGTTTACTTCATATATATTATTTTAAACCGTAAATATGTTTTATTTAAATTTTTACTATACTATTTAAAAAAGAAGATACTTTTTGTTATCATCTTGACATACTTATCAGGCAAACAAAAATAATGATCTACATTTTATATTCTTTGTTATTGTTTAAAACATTTAAAATAAATTAAACCATTAAATAAACGTGGATATATCAATTACAACATTTTTACTTACTTAGTAGCCTTGTTTTATTATCCTAGCAATAGCTTATTTACCCAATGGACACTGACGTAAAATTGCCTGCATTAACTACTAGGAGTACTTTTATCAGTATCAGGTTTGATTCTAGGGAAATAAAAATTATATATTAGTCTTTATCAATTAACTAAGCCATTGCAACGTGATTTCTAAATAAATAGTGTTTATTGACAAACCTTTTTTTACAAAGGACCATTAATTCCACTTTAGTTAAAAAATATTGTTTTTACACTTTAAAACACACACACATTTAAATAAAATCTATTCAACGGTTTAAAACGCGAAATATAGCTATCTTCAATGACCAAGTATATTACGAATCCTTCGGGCTTGAAGTTGACTAATATATTTCTCAGTTTAAATCGTTATTTTAGGTTTAAATCTATAATTGAACGTTCCGGTCGGGTGGAAGTGATAAGATAAACATCTACAACTTTATACATATATTTTATTAAACCATTATCATATTTTATGCAATATAGTTTATAATAGGGAAATACGTTTGAGCGATACTCTTCAGTGCCACCGGATGTTGGCAGGTGATAATAGATACCCCTGGGATTTTATACCAGCCATAGCGGTTCTCATCCAAACGGGAATTGTATGAACGGTAAAATAACCTTTATTACATTATTTAATACTAGCTGTGCCAGCGACTTTCCTCGTGTAATTATTTTAGGCATCAAGTTATTTATTCTCGCAACCTCATTTTCTTTATAAATTATTGTTACCCACGGCGTCAAATGATAGACACAGTGTCGCGGACATGTAAGCTATTCAAGTAAGAATCATTCTTCCTTCCATATATTTTTTGGTGTCTTGTACCGTTTTTTCAGGGAACCTATCGGCAGCGCTCTAAGATGAGTAATTTTCCCCCCTTTTCCACAGGTCGCAGTCTGATGTTTTATAGCCTAAAGTCTTCCCCGGTAATAGTCCAACCCACACAAAATGAATGTTCTTTTTTAAACCAGTAGTTCCTGCGATCAGCGCGTTTAAACAAACAAACTCATATTATATATACTATATCCAATCGAGTATTATTGCAGAAAGACAAATTTAAAATCTTTGCATCCGTTTAGGGACTACGACGACACATACATACCGACACACATACAGCAATATTACTTAATTATTTCCTACCTTATCTATTTTAAGATACCCATCAAAGTGTCCAATTGTCGCTTTACCGTGTTTATCCAATTGTTACCACCTTGACCTATGTAGCCATTTTAGTACAGATTGATTGCGTGGGCGCCGATTCAGCACCTAATTACAGCTTTAATTGAAAACATTCATTGATCATGACTTGTAGATCATTGTCAAGGTAATATGGGGTATAACTCGATCACTTGTATGTCGCTTTACGGTTTGATAACGATTCTTAATAAATACTAAGGATGAATAATACAACTGAAGAGAATTAATTTAATTTATATTATGTGATATATAATGGTTCTGCAACTACGGTAATGTACAAAAAAATATGTATAACACATAAAAAGTCGCGACTACAGTATGTTTGTCAAAATAATTTTATAATTATAGTCTCAAACTGTGTTTTAATGTAACCCTCACCACCTGGGTTTAAAATTTACTACTTGCAACATTAATGTATCTATTGTAACATCTAAAATAAATCGGACCTTCAAAGTAGTTCACGAGCATGATACAGCATAAAAACCAAGCAAAGATTTACTTAGTCTGTGCTCTCATACAGTTGGGATTAACAAGACAACATACGGTTTAACTAACAAATGGTTAATATTATGCAATTTGCATATTTATATCTGGTGATAGACAATGTTATAGATTGTGTTAAACAACGCGATCATGATGTGAGTTTTTAAATGGAGCAACTGTTTATTTTATACTGTATAGTTTTCACCGTCGCAGCGAAGGGCTCTACTTTCTGAGTAACGGTGCGACGTTCATCAAGTGATTTTGAAAGGTTTTTAATCAATAGATGTCTGCTCTTGATTTTTATGGGAAATTACTTCTTGTCTAGATCTAGTTTCACACAATCACTTCTTAACGTATATATATTTCATGATCTGACTCTCTTTGTTCCATCTACCATCAAGAGAACCCCACGATTACCTCCGTCATATTTATGTATTTCATGCAAGAAATTAATTCAAAGTGTGAAAGGGAATTTCTCTTTTACATCTTTTTTTAGAGCGACCAAGCTTAACAAAGAAGGAAACAGAACCCCTTCGATCTTTCGCCCCCTCCTTCAGTCCTCCATCGTTTGAGGAACAAAACTTATTTTTGTACGGATTGATTTGTGTATGTTCATTTGTAAAGCTTTGATAAGGTCTCAGTGAAAGTGAGTTTTATTATGAACGTGATTGATATTCAAGAAGTGCAATAACAAAGGTCATGGCGCGATAAATTATAAAGACGAAATTGAAGCACGAATCTCTACAACTAATTTCACTGTTATTATAGATTATCGAGATTTTGATTGTGTTTCTCTCAGTTAGTTTTGACCTTTCTTCTTACAAAAGTAGAATTAAAAAACAACTTTCATTTTCTTAGTAAACAAATCTTAGATAATATATAAAGTTTTAGTAGATTTGCAAAGTCTAGTGCTTGGTCTTAAGTTCGATTCTGGGAAGGACGCTTAGTGTTTTACAGTTTTGGAGAGACTTTACTTGTCCGTAGATGTGTATGATTGTCAGACTGCGTCAAACGTTGTAAAAACAGTGCTTTGTCTGTAGTTTATTTATAACATTAGCATCTTTTATCATCTGTAGTGTTCGCAAGTAGCATTACAAAAACACGTTAACTGTTTAAAACGCGAAATGTATTAATTTTACTTGTTTACAAATTATTTTTTATCTATTCACTCGTTGGTAGGTAAAATACCACAGCTATATAACATCTCAACAAGTTGCGCTATTTTGCCTTTGGATATTTGGAACTCCACAGACTGAAATCGTAACATGATTAAACTTTTCGACTTTTTCGTCGATGGACGGAATTTTGATATCGCTACCACTCATTTCCAAATTTCCAGATGAAGTTCAAATGTTTCAGAAAAATTGTAAATTGATTAGAAACATGTTTATTTATTTTATTTATTTACAACAATTAAAACGACAATGGCCAGTTACATTAATTGGAGACACACATATTTAAACAATAACAATTAGATTATTAGAAATTACTTTAGGATAAAATTTCAAAGGCAGACAATTCTTTTAGTATTCATGACCAATCATCTGCGAAAAGGTCACATTTGGGTCTTAACTTGAGAGCGTTGAGTTGCAACCGATGGGCATCGAAGCCACGACCCGCTAGCGATACATTGCTACAGTTACACCAAACCCGTCAGTATTATAGTTGATTTTGTCAAATGCCAGTGCTAATTTGGACATCGTTTAGTTGTTAATGTAGACACGATTAAAGAAGTACTTCTAGATCTTCTTATGAGAATAACCCGAATACGTCACGATGCGTGGAGGCCCTATTTCCGTATAATCTGCATACGTCTCCTTTCTAACGGTATCTAATGTCCATCGATAATGACTACTTTTTGTTCGTCACTATTAATTTTGTTCTAATGAGGTGCCGGTAATAGTCTGTAGGTTATAAATATACAATTGAAATCAAATAAATGATTTCGTCACATTGAAAATGAAACTCGAACCAGCGTCCACAGCGTTCCGTGCTGCCAGTCTGACCAATTGAGCTATTTTTAATTTATAAAATGCCGTCAAATAACATGTGAAAAATGTTTTCAAATCGGAAATTAGGCAACTTGAAGACTTATTTTTAACAAAAATAGCACTTAGCATTATAGTTTACGCGATAGTGTTTTATTTAAATGTGTACTGCTCGCGTAAACTACAGATACTTAGTATTTAAGGTATGCAATTTCTTACATTGTATAAAGCTTCAGCTTGTACCTTAGCTACGTTTTTTTACGCGAACAGATCACAAACATTCACCTCTTCAATACTTTGAAAATAGAAAATAAATTGAAAAATTTTACGACTCGGGCAGGACATGAACCGGCATCGTCAGCGTTCCGTGTTGTTGTACTCTCCTCTACTAATTGAGCCACCGAGTCCTTATGTTAGTGCCTTCATGTGCGATAACATAAAAAATAATAAAGTAATAAAGTTTTCAAATATTCAATACTTTTTTAACGAATTGAAATATTTGTAAAATGTGCTACTCGAAATATAAATCATACTAAGAAAAGATTTCATATTCATCTGCTCGTTTACAATTGTCAAATCCTGTTTCATCCCGTGGGGTATGGGCCGAACATATTTCTGTATTCATTTCGTTTACATATATTAGGCCAGTAGTTGATCATTCTGTGTCCTCTCCAACCGAAACACACGTTTCTATGGAATTCGAAACTTGTATGCCAATACTAAATAATGCACTTAACCATGCGCTACGGGGTAGTAAATATGATTACTTTATTTTTGCTTGTGTCTATTTTTAACAGCTCCTTTACCATTTTTTATCTCAACCTAATTAAACATCTTATCAGTTTGATTCACGTCGTTAATAATCTAAGAAATAAATCACCTCATTCTTTACGGTTTTCCCGAGTTATGCACGGGATAGATTAGCCTTTGTAACGAACCCATTGCATACTCTAAGTACCTACCTGAAAGTGCCAACTAATGATGGTCTTTGAGACCTCCGGTCGGCTCCACCAGAGCGTGACCGGTGAGCTGCGCCGGCGCAGTGCCGCAATGGCGGTGTGGTGCGGTGCGCGTATTTTGCCGCTGGAACGGCGAGTTTACACCATCACGCTAGTGGTTCGTATCAGTAGTATCTTTAAGGGGAATTGCTGGGTTGATTCCCGGAAATAAGTTTGAACGTGCAGTGCTTTTTCTGTGAGGTTGCCGAACTAGTATTGAATTGTATTTTTAGCAGCGTGACAACTATTTTTAAGTTAAAATTGGTATTCCTAGCCTTGGAAATGCTGTCTTTACGCTTAAATAGCCGTGCCGGCGACTTTGTCCGCGTAGACTAGTTTGGGTATCAAAATTTGTTTTTCCAAACCTCCTCATCTTTATGAATTATAGCTGTTATCCACGACGTCAGTCGCGTCCCATTGTTCTTGCAAGTTAATCTTAAACGATAGACATAGAGTGTTGCGGCCTTTTTTTATACATTTTATGGTTTTTCTGCAGAGCGCGCCACGAAAACGGTTCAAGATACAAACCAACAAAGATGAATAATTTTTCCCGTTTTTTTTTTCAAATTCCCACCGTGCCTCACTCCTTTTGGTCGCACCGTTATTTTAGTCTATAGAACTTCTCTAAAACTCCTCCAACCAAAGCAGTAGTTTCTGAGATTAGCGCGTTCAAACAAACAAATCAACTCTACAGTTTTAAAATATTAGTATAAATTGGCCTGCAAAATCACCTAAACAACTTGTTGTTAAACAAACATAAAAATATGTACATGGTGGTTTGGAGAAAATAATGGCAGAATTAAGATGAGCCAAATAAAAAAGTACTTTGGTAAAAGTTTGTGTTTTTATCTTATTTTCTATTTCAATGCCAAATAAAGCTAGTTTATACTCAAACGTTTTAGGAGATGGATGATGTTTCAAACTTACAATCTTGGGTACGTCCTTTCTATCTATTCAATCTAAGTTATCTGGGCTTTCTCTAACTTGTCAGTCCTGACTAATTGGTTAGAATACTATCTGATAGTGAAGGAAGCTGCATTGCTTTCGGAGTATTGAATAAAAGATTTATCATTAGAAATCGCATTGGGACAGTTCAGTGCGTCCGATCGAATCTTAGATTATTTGATGTTACGATAGTCATGATGTTTCATGTATTCAGATATTGTGTCGAGTCGAATTATAACGTCAACTATTATACTAGTAAATGAGAATTCGCTTTTTAAATCAAATAGAGTAAAGTATGCCATTTTTATATAAATTATAAATCTTATATTATAACCGTAATCGGCTAGAGTATATTTAATCTAGATTGTCTTGTCACTTGGGTAGTTTCATAGATTTATTAATTGTAATGTAATTGAAAGCTGTAAGGATTTCTATAATATAAGGATGTACATAAACTAGTATTGTCAGCGACTTCGTCCGTCCCTTTTTTTTTTTTTTTTCCCCCTTTTTTTTTTTTTAAAAAAAATATTTTTTTTTTTTGGCCCAACTTTTGGTCGTTTTTATACAGGGCGATGTTTTATAGCCTTCCTCGATAAATGCTCTCACAAACACCAAAAAAAATATTTTCAATTCGAACCCGTAGTTCATAAATTTAGCGCGTTTCAACATACAAACAAACTCTTTAGCTTTATATAATAGTACAGGTAAATAAGTAGCACGTAAAGCAAAGACGTCTGTGTATGTATTTTTGTATTTATGATAAATACTTACTAAATAAAAATATTATTGCAAAATGAACTCGGACGGGACTTGAACCTGCATCCACAGCGTTCCGTGCTGTTGCATGTTGTTTATGTAATGCAAAACAATGAAAAGTGTCAAAGTTTTCAAATCAATACGTACTTCTAAGTGACGTAAGCGGGCGTTCTTTTTTTAAAACGCATTGAAATACGGAGTGGAAATAATGCCTTCGAAAAGAAGAACCTCGTTGTAACTGTACAAAAGTTATCGTAACTAAATCACTTAGTTCTGTCGGTAAGTTCGTGTGAAGCAAAAAAGTTTCGAGTGACCGTGAAAATTCGAGGCACGAACGCAATGCAATGAACTTCCCTTTAAGCTCTAGAGCTACGTTATTTAAAGCACTATCTGCCTCGAATATAATTTGTATATCTATTATTATAACTAATTGCTTAGGATATAGATAATTATAAATGTTAGCAAATTTATAACCTAACATCTAATGGTTAAACCTTGCAAAAGTTTCCGGGTTTGAATCCCTGGGAAACTTATATTATACAGATATAGAAATGAGTTCGCCCCATGCCCCACACAGGGTTTCACTTCTCTAGACTGTCCTAAGCTGTTAATTTCACAAGTAGAAGTTATCGAATGAGAATAATCTTTTTATTTAAATTTTTATATATTATTTAACTCGTTGTGTCTACCACTTCGTTCGCGTGTTTTAGAGACTTATGCGGCAACTAGATTAGAAGAGCCGTTTCTGATATTGGCGTGCACAAACGCACAGAAAAACCCTCGAAAATTCTTAATTTTGAATACTAATGCGTTGATAAATCTATTATAATACCTTATCATATATAACTTACGTACAGACAGCGATCAGTTACGTTATTATTGTATGTATATATTGTATATTTTTTGTTATAGATAGATCCAAACACAGCATTCCTTCGAGCGGCGCGCGCCGGGCAGCTAGACACAGTTGTGGATTTGCTGGATTCGAACGCTGTCAAAGATATAAACACGTGCAATTCTGTAAGTAATACTATTTCTTTTGTTCCACCGTCGTAATTAAGGAACTTGACGTCTCTCTACTATGAGAAGACATCATCAGGAGATGAGGAAGCAAACCAAAAAGTTCTACAATATAGCAGCCTTACATAATGTATACCTACTATGTATAGTCATTTCTTTCTTTTTACTTCACATTTGGTTGCCTGGAAGAGATCGCTGTTTAACGATAGGGCCGCCTTTTATTTATAGTTCATAAGTTTTTATTATTGTAAACCATTCCTGTGGTGTTTATAATTAACAAAAGTTATATAAGTAATTGTTGTACGTTAAGCAAAAAATACTTGGAAACGGTTATTATAACGCTATTTCATTTTTTAATGTTAACAATGCAAGGGGTTTGGAAGAACCCGCTCTAACAAGGAAATAGGTTGTACACATTGAGTTAAGAATTTGGAACAAAAACTTAGCGACAAGAATGGCGGCGAGTTTCTTGCCAGTTCTTGCCGTTGGTACTTGGTACTACTGGCCTTTGATTTTGGGCTGGTAGTAAATGGTAGAGCTTTGACTTTTTAACTGGTGTGACGTTCTTTAGTGTCCTCGCTACTAACGTGAATAAGTGATATTTGTTTTAATCGAAAATTATTGGGTATTTTTTTACGTGTTAACGCACGCCCTTATTCCGAAAACACTTTCTTGACTTTTGAATTAAACAAACAAAACAACTTTTTTATGTATTTCATCTCGCATTTGATAAGTAAATAACACGAATTGACACTTATCAAATGCGCGTTGTACATCTCAGTAAGTAAAATTCAGACAGACTTGTAAGACTAAAGTTTTGGAAAATTTTCTATGGTTTAATTTCAATGCATAACGCGTTACGTTACCTAGTAATATACGGGTATAGCGTAATATTTTAATACACTGTGAAGTTTACTAACAAAATCCTATTTTGGGCCAAATGTCAAAAATTTCTTTACAAAAATAAAACTTATGTCACTATTAAAAAAAGTAACGTTTATATAATTTTGTTAAATACTTTCCTACATATTGTTCGTTTTGTAAAGCTTTTCCCTGACTCTAAAGTTATGATCAGGAATAATCCAGAGCTTAATTCAACTCGCATACCGCTATTCCATCCATAATAACAGGCCATGACTTATGAAATTATGTATGCATTACAGTCATCTATGTGTTATATTATATACGTAGAGATATTGTCTATTCGATGCATTTATGACTAGATGAATTCAACAGATATTGAACTTCCGTTGGGATATGCGCAAACCGATGTACAGAATAGCTTTTCTATATAAATATGTATAATAAGTTTTTTTTATTAATTATAACATCTGATCTGGTGCTAGAGAACTTTGTTTTGTTATTGTACAAGCGTTCGTACTTATTCTTACAAATTAGTGATCTGTGATTGGGTCTTTAATAAATAAATTATTTTAATTAGAATAAATAAATGTATTTATTTTAATAAAAAATGTATGCATGTCACAATTAAAACAAAAAATTTGTTAAGAAAAAATAGCTATCAATCTGGTACGAGGTGTGCATGGGAAGGGACGGAACTGGGAGTAAAAACTTTTTTTTTTATGTATGTTAAAATTTACAGATGTCGACACGTAATAGAATCAATCTGTGATAATTTTGCAATTAATTTGAATTTTAAAAAGTATCAAAAATGGGAATCGTTCTCAATAATCGTGACTCGTACGCAACAGCATAAAACGCCGTGCTCGTAGGTTCGGAATATGCCAGTGTCATAAAAATGGTCAATATACGTCTATACCCTTGACCTGTTATTAGTCTAGGTCTAAAGTTATTTCTGATAAATGCATTCGTCCTTCGCCAAATGGTTTGTTCCGCCCTAACGGGTTAGTTCCTCTTACGGGCGTTACTATTACGTATGATATTACGTAATTCTAAATATGTATAACCGTCGTTTTAAAGATAATTAGAGATTAAATATAGTTGATATTGAGTTTTTTTACTTTATTTTACATAACATTCAGTTTATATGTAACAAAAATGTATGAGCAATTAGGTATTTAAATAAAACACTTTAACGGTTTAAAACGCTATATATTAGTTAAACTTATTTGGAAAAGATTTTTTATCTTCGGCTAGACGTTTCGGCTGCTGCAACGCAGTGTTTTATTTAAATGTGTACTACTCGCGTAAACTATAGACGTATTCAATTAGGTACTTCTAACTCAAATAACTATGAAAAACAAATACATTTTAGACAACTATAAATCTTTCTATATCTACATATAAGAATAAATGATAAAAGAAAATTACGTTAAATTCTAAAAGAGTGCAAGATAGCATGATAAAAATTATTAAATAATTATGTAAACCGAATGCTATTTCGTAGGTGATTTATGCATAGTTAATTACCTATTACTTCATACTAATACATATATACTAAAGAGTATATTGTTAAAATTTCAGAATGGACTAAACGCACTACACTTAGCCGCCAAAGACGGCCACATTTCGGTCGTAGAAGAGCTACTGAAGCGGGGCGCCACTGTCGACGCGTCTACAAAGAAAGGTATTTTTTAATAACTATTTATTTGTGACATTTATTAAATATGCCCTTAATTGTATTAGCATTAATTATTTCATCGGTTTTATGTTTTATTTATTAATATGTATTAAATAAGATGAAAAGTTAGGTAAAGCTTAGCTTTATCTGGCCATCTATTCAATATTACATATATTTATATACAAGACTATTGCAAACTAACTTACGTCTATATTCTTTGTCTAAATAATTACAAAAAGTAATAATTATAGTTATTTTGAATATTTAGTTTATTAATTAAGATCATATAAGTATGATTCTTCTCGACGATTCGAGGCCGACTACCGTCGTCTCCAAACGGTTAACCAGTACGAATGGGACGTTTTAAAAAACGACAATATTCTAAAAAAAGGACGGGATTCTTCGACATATATATTCCCACGACTAAATTCCTTGTTAAGTTATTATTTTACAAAATGATTTTCAGGCAACACAGCACTGCACATAGCATGTCTTGCGGGCCAAGAATCTGTTGCGCGGGCGCTGCTTGCAGCCGGCGCAAAGGCGGACGCACAATCAGCGGCTGGGTTCACTCCGTTATACATGGCAGCACAAGAAAACCATGCCGGCTGCGTGAAAATGTTACTGGCAGCAGGGGCTAGCCAGACACTTGCGACAGAGGTAAACAACTTTTTTTTTTACATAAATCATGCATGTTGTTTGTATAGCCTAAAATTCTACTCATGGTACAAGTAATCCATTCTGAATGGAAAAGCCAAATTAAGAAAAAGTTACACGTGCTACTCGACGTTTTACCATATCCCTTATAGGTATTATATAAGTGGCCGCTAGAGATAGAGTAGACTAACTGCAATTTTATTACTTAACTCTTTTATATTTTTATAATCTAAAAACGTTAATCTACAATAGCACAGTGATCGAAAATTGTTAACACAATTCTTACACAAAACAATAGTACAAATTCATTTTCGCCTAATTTAATTGCGCATTATTATTTTCCTTCGTATTGCCTGGCTCTCGCAGCTCCTATACACTATACTGTCGATTCGACAAACGTAATAGATGGTAATACGGTCTCATATAAATACTGAGATTTAATTATTAATAACTTTGTACGTTTTAAACTTTATTTGCGTGTCGTATCTGCATATTTATAAGCTTAATTCCTAAGATTTTATTTGTATTTAAACCATGTCTGTAAACTAAAGCTCAGACCTAGACCTTTTATTTATTTTGTTTGTTTTTAGGATGGATTTACGCCATTAGCAGTGGCGATGCAGCAAGGTCACGACCGAGTCGTGGCGGAACTGTTGGAATCAGACACGCGCGGCAAAGTTCGGTTACCGGCGCTTCATATCGCCGCAAAAAAGAATGACGTGAAAGCGGCTACCCTATTACTAGAGGTACGTTCCAGCTCAGTTGGAGAAGGTTGAGGAGGAAAAATCTTGAAAACCATAAAATAACCTAAGAGCTTTTAAATAAAACACTTTAACGGTTTAAAACGCGATATATTAGTTAAACTTATTTGAAAATGATTTTTAAATTCGGCCCGACGTTTCGGATGCTTTGAGTCTCCCCGTGACAACGGCTGCTGCAAAGCATCCGAAACGTCGGGCCGAAGTTAAAAATCATTTTCAAAAAAGTTTAACTGATATATCGCGTTTTAAACCGTTAAAATCTCTTTAGTTTAAATATCGTGTAATATTCGCGTAAACTATAGATAGTATTTAACCTAAAAGCTATCTTACCTTAGAAAAAAGCCTACAAAGACTGCTTTAAAGTAAATAACCTATGGGTAAATAAACCGCTTGGTTACATAACGCATTACAGTCATAGTCTATCTAGCTTACACGCCTAATTTGCGGAAAAATTCAACCCAAAATATTCCTTCTCGCTATACAAAGGCTTAACTGATTAGTGAAGAATTATTCTCTCTACTGCGTAACGCGTTACATTCCCTTTTTCCGTTCTTAGTAGTAATATTATTTACGTGTTCGTTTATGAATAAAGTATTGTCTGTAGATAAAACACACATTAGATAATTTATTTGCAGAAGATAGATTTAATTTATTTGCTATATACGGCCAGACGTCTGAAACGTCGGGCCGTAATTAAAATAGATTGCAAATAAGTTAACTATTAGTGTTTTAAACCGTTAAGTATTTTATTTAACGTAATTGTACCGTGTAAATTGTTTTGCAGATGTATTAATGTACTAATGCTTTGTAATTTAAATCAATGTGTTTCATTGTAGTGTACCACTTCTTGTAATTTTATATTCGTTAATCGTTTTTTTTATTTCCAGAACGAACACAACCCCGACGCTTGCTCGAAATCTGGCTTCACTCCGCTCCACATAGCAGCTCACTATGGGAACGTGGGAGTGGCTAAGGCGCTGTTAGTCGCCGGGGCAGATTCAGGGCGGGCGGCGAAGCACAATATTACACCGCTGCACGTCGCTAGCAAGTGGGGACAGCTGGCTATGGTTGATCTACTGGTTGAAAATGGTACTGTGTCAAATTCATTATCGCTTATAAATACTATTTCCATAGAATATATTCCAAGTGAAGTTTAGAGTCGTGTATTTGTACCTTATGTATGAAAGACAGTGAAAAAAAAATGCAAATTGATCAATGAAGTTACTTATAGTATTTTTTTTTCAACCTAGCAAAGACTTTTAGACCGGTATTATAATTATTGACTATCTTCTATATATGATATCTATAAAGCCAAAAATGCATACGATAAAAACCGTCGCAGTTAAGACTTGAAGAGTATCATTAAATGGCTGTGAGTGCAGAGAGGTCCTGGGTTCGAATCCCAGGGAAATAATAGATGATTTCAGTCGGGCAGGGTACAAAATTCTGATCAACTGCTTCCCTGTTACCGATCAGTGCTTGTGTTTTTGTATAATACAAGCACTGAATTTAAAGAAAAAAATACAATCATTAAAAATCCATTCTTAAAAGATAGACATACAGCGTTAGGAACTTTATTTTTATATACTCATCGAATAAGGCATCACCGCTCATATACCACCACAGGCTAACGGTTAATAATAAATCTCTTTATTTAGCATTCATTTTGTACAATCATTAGACGTATTAACAATAAATGTAATTGACACCGATAAAAATAAATAATAAGTAAAATAATAATACTACGCAAGATTAAATTAAATTTTGTTTAAAATGATGCCATCATAGGGTCCTACGTCAGCATAAGTTGCAGCACGGTTATTATGCTACAACACTGATTTTCAGCAAAACCCTACCGTTTGTCTGTTAGACAGCGCACATACAACCATTCGATACTATATAACAGTGACTTTAGCGGTAAACATTAGGAAGCAATAAATAATTAAAATATAAATTAGAAATTATTGGCGTAAATAGGAGGGAGAAATTCTTGCGCCCAGCGGCAAAGTGTTCTGATAGTTTAAAAAAATGCTTTGTAGGAAGTTTTTGAAGCGCAAATAAACTATTATAATTATGGCCTTTGCCGCGTCATCAAGTTACCTATAACACAGAAATACAAATACTATTGCAATTTCCTTCAGGCGCAAACATAGCAGCGGTGACTCGCGATGGCTTGACTCCTCTTCACTGTGCGGCTCGATCTGGACACAGCAACGTCGTGTCAAGGTTACTTCAGCATGGTGCTCCCATCACCAGCAAAACAAAGGTGAACTTTATCCGATCCAAATAAAAAGCTATACGGACTTTTGTTTAAATAAAAAATCGATTTTAAATAGAAAATATTTACGACACGAACGGGACTCGAACCGGCATCCACAGCGTTCCGTGCTGTTGCTCTAACCAATTGAGCTACGTGTCCTACTCGCCATCATCGAGTTGATTAACACCTTAACACTTTCGTATTAAGGTGTTGTAAATTTTGTCAACTCAAAATCGATTTTAATTTATATAATGCCATATAGTTTGCAAAGATTACGTTTAACTCCTAATTTTCATTACTATTATCAATTTTTATAAAGTGAAAAATGGCCTCACTTTTTCTAAAACATGTTGGACTTCGTTTGGAATTCTGGATATTATGGATTGGTAGGTATATCGCAATTCCGTCCGGGTCACAAATCACCACCCACAGAAGAAAAATTTAAATCGCGTTTCGGTTACAGTCTGTGGATTTCCGAATGTGCAAGGCCAAAAAAGGTTGACAGTGCATCTTACTTAGATATTATATAGCTGGGTTGTTTTACCTACCATCGAGTAAACCCGTTGTTTGTCCTTTTCTATACATGGTATAAATAAATACATGACAATTAGTAGTGTCACATCTTATATTAAAATTAAACCACGTAATATATTTTACAAATCCTAAAAGTTGTCGAACAACAACAACAGTTACAATCCATATGTTCAATCTTATATTGTTTCTTCAGAACGGTCTGACCCCTCTACACATGTCGGTGCAAGGAGAACACGTGGAGACCGCCAAGGTGCTCCTTTCAGAAGGCGCGCCCATCGATGACGTCACAGTCGATTACCTCACAGCGTTACATGTTGCTGCACATTGTGGTCATGTTAAGGTAATGATAGAAATTAAAGAAGTAAAAATATTAATGACGATGGAATGCGTTGAAGTATATTCGCATTTCAGTTTTAATTTTTTAATATCTAAACGATAATCGACAGCACGTCTTGCTTCTATGTCTAGAGTATTCCACCTATCAAGTAAAACCAACCTTTCTGTTCTCTATCATTAAAAGACGCTTATTGTCTTTAAAATGTTATTGAACGATTAATGTAATATATACTGATAATAATGGCCTAGGTTACAAAGAATTAATACAGCGTTGCTAGATTATAGTTTAAACTTCTAACTAAATTAAAACTTATTTACGACTAGTTAATAAAATATGTTTTCTTAACAGGTAGCTAAACTTCTCTTAGACAGAAATGCGGACGCAAATGCGCGTGCGCTTAACGGCTTTACGCCGCTACACATCGCGTGCAAAAAGAACAGGCTCAAAGTTGTTGAATTGTTGCTCAAATATGGTGCTAGTAAGTATGCTAAAAGGAAATTTTGAAAGTGAATGTCCTATTGTTATTTAGTAGTATTGAATGAACACACATTTTGTTTTAAAATCGTAAGCAAGAAATATTTGTTTTAATGACTGATTTATGTAAGGCATATTAAAAGACCTATACGTTTAAATAAAACACTTTAACGGTTTAAAACGCGATATATTAGTTAAACTTATTTGGAAATGATTTTTAACTTCGGCCCGACGTTTCGGATGCTTTGCAGCAGCCGTGACCACGGCTTAAAGTGTTTTATTTAAATGTGTACTACTCGCGTAAACTATAGACAGTAGACCTATACGTATTGATGCCTTATATATTTCTGATACATTTTGTAGACTTACATAAACCATAATTTAGAGTCTATTTAGAGTCAAATCTTTATAAATATTGTTTTCTATTTCAGGTAAATCGGCAACAACAGAATCCGGTCTCACACCCCTACACGTTGCATCATTTATGGGGTGCATGAACATTGCTCTGGTTCTCGTCGGCGCTGGTGCTGATGCAGATGCCGCTACAGCTAGGGGAGAGACGCCGTTGCATCTTGCTGCTAGAGCTCATCAAACTGATCTTGTCAGAGTGCTATTAAGGAATAACGCTAAGGTAAGTTTATTTTACTACACTCATTAATAAAAAGTATGAATAAAATGGGTCCTATAAACTCTGTAGAACCCAATTATAGGTATATATTAAAATTTCTTAATATTTTTAAAAAGTACTTAACCGTTATTCAGGTAGTCACATTCATGTCTATGTCAATCTTTTTAGGTGGAAGCACGAGCTCGCGAAGAACAAACTCCATTGCATGTAGCTGCGCGTCTGGGTCACGCTGATATAGCAGCCCTGCTGTTGCAGCACGGTGCTGATGTTGCTGCTACAACGAAAGACAAATATACGCCATTGCATATTGCTGCTAAAGAGGGTAAGGAATACTGTGTATTAAAATTGGGGCTTTCACATATAGAAAGTACGTATAGTTACCAAGTCAAGTTTTTAAATTCAATTATATTTATCTGATCCAAACATTACTTGAAGTTACTTATTTAATGTAATGTAAGTTGTGAACTCGAAATTATTATTTCTTTAAATAAAACACTTTAACGGTTTAAAACGCGAAAAAATAAAGTGTTTTATTGTGTACTAAAGACAGCATTTAATTATTGTTTATCTTTCTAAAATAATATTCTTATATTCTAGCAATTAAACTCATAACATAATATAATGTGTAACAGGCAAAGAGGAAGTAGCGGCAATCCTCATTGATAACCAAGCGCCAATAGAAGCAGAAACACGAAAAGGTTTTACTCCACTACACTTAGCTGCTAAATACGGAGACATCGGTGTTGCCAGGTTACTATTAGCTCGTGGTGCACAACCAGACGCACCTGGCAAGAGCCACATAACACCATTGCATATGGCAACATATTATGGACATCCAGATATCGCATTATTACTTTTGGACAAAGGTAATTCTGTTACATATATATCTTTTTATGAATTATTCCCAAGGGCGTGACTAGAAGTGTGTTTATATTGTGATTTTCTTCCATGCTACATCACGTTAGTCGAGTTTGTTATCTATCGTCTTGTATATTGCTAGATACAAAATAGTGTATAGACCAAGAACCTTTGTCTGTGGCTACATAACCTTCATTATCCCAATTGATAGCTCCATATTTCTGAACAGGTGCGTCCCCTCATTCGCTAGCTAAGAACGGTCATTCAGCCCTCCACATCGCGTGTAGGCACAACCATCCCGATATAGCATTCGCGCTCCTCGAACATGGTACGTATTGCAATAGTACTTAGCATCACTTTCGCATATCCAATTGTTCGAATGATATTTTTATTTATAGTAAGACGCATTACACGGAAATTAATTTTCTTATAAATAAACCATATAAACAGAATATTTTTTTTTTAACTTTATTTCTATTAAAAAAATATTTTTTTACTAAATAAATTATTTTTGTGAGATTTTTTTTACGTTTAAAGAATAAAGTAAGGTTTTAATTCTGGTTTTTATTAAGGCATTAATCATTACATTTTTTTATTTTTAGATGCCGATCCAAGCGTCAAGTCAAAGGCAGGATTTACACCCTTGCATATGGCTGCGCAAGAGGGTCACGAAGATTGTGTTGAGATGCTAATAGAGAGAGGCGCTGATGTCAACGTCCCAGCTAGTAATGGTGAGACTCTACTGTTATTTTATGTCTCCTTCGATAAATATCATAAGCGTAAACATAAAAAATATATTTGTCCACTTATTTGAAGACCATATAAAAAAGAAAAAAATTATAATATGCGCCCAAAACTATTATTAATTATAGTATGTTTTGCATATAAACTGCCCAATATGTTGATACTAATATAGTTATTTATCTTAGGTCTCACACCGGTGCACTTAGCAGCGTCTGAAGGACGCACAGCAGTTCTGAAGTCACTTATGGGAGCTGGTGGAAGATGTGCTGCTAGAACGAGGGATGGGTACGATCAATAAATAAATATATTATTTTCAAGTGTCTTTGTTAGTCTTTTGCTAGTTAAGCCACCCACGACCCATTGATTAGCCTTTTGACGGGCTAAATCAATGAGACGTGGGTTAGATGCCTACCGGTTTCAATTTTCCTAAAACATGTTGGTCTTCGTCTGGAAATCTGGATATTAAATGGGTCGTAGGAATATCGAAATTCCGTGCGGATGACCACATCTGTGGGTGGTACAGATCAAAAATAAAAAAAATCCGTTAAGTTTAATGGCGTTTCGGTTTCAATCTGTGCATTTCCGAATATCCAAAGCCAAAATAGCTCTACAGCGTATCGTCAAGACCTTTTAAAGTGCGCGTCCGAAGAGCGGTCAATATTTACAGTTTATATTTGATTTTTTTAGGTACACACCATTGCATGCAGCTGCTCATCACGGTCATCATGCTGCCGCGAAAACACTCCTCGAAGCTGGTGCTGATGTAACCGCCACAGCTGCTCATGGGTACGTTAAAAGAAAAAAATATTTTATCGTCACCACAACTATATTACAAATATAAGATTCAAGTTGAGGAAATTACAGAAAAGAAATATGTACGTCTTTTAAAATAAAAAAGAAACCGATTTTACTTACCATGAATTAAATATAAACGATTACTTATTAGATTTATTATACTAGATTTATTCATGAATTCTGGTGACAATAAATGTCAAAAATGTATCCATAAATGTATGTATAAGGGCAGAATAAATATTTTACCATGAACAATTCATTTATTTTATAAACTATTTTTTAATTGAAGAACTAATGCAAAAATTCAACTTAATAGTAAAATATCTTCACCAGGTTTACACCACTACACCAAGCGGCCCAGCAAGGTCATACTCTCATCATACAGTTGCTACTCAAAAGTAATGCAGACCCGAACGCGTTATCAGCTGTAAGTTAATATATAGGTTGTAATAAAATGGTCCTTCGAGCCGTCCACAATCATGAATATATTTTGCCATATTTTCCCACTAACTAAATATTAATTCACAGAATGGCCAGACAGCTTGTGCGATCGCTGATCGTTTGGGTTACATCAGTGCTGTGGAGGCGTTACGACCTCTCACTGAGAATACGTTAAGCCAAGCTGTGGGTGACACCGGTAAGTACCATACTCGTCTCGAAATTTATATTAATGACAACCACGAAAATCTTTTTGACTTTAGATACCTACTTGTATATAAAATTTAACAATTAAGAGAATTGCTTGTTTTCACGTATACTAGCTGTTCCACGACGTCGTCCGGTAGAATAGTTATTACAATACATATTTTTTTGGTATAGTAAACTGTTTTTGCTCCGCATTGGTGCTTTATAGCCTTGATAAATACTCTAACCAATACAAAAAGAACTTTAAATTCGAACTAGTAGTTCTTGAGGTTAGCTTTATAATATGTAGATTCTCAGATCTTTTATCTAGTATAGATAAAAAATCTGACCAAGAACGCTCGTCCCTGACTTTAAACACTTGAATACAGAAATAGCTTTCCAAATATTCTCCACAATAAATCATAGATTGCATACCATCAAATCTTCGCGCCCGCGTGAAAAACAACGCCTCCCTGAGGTATTGCGTCTGCGCATATCTTTGATCTAAATACAGCTCAACTAAATTTAATAGTATCCGCCAACCATGCATAAATTGAAAACTGGATACCGGCCAACTAGGTACGACTAACCGAATAATCGATCATGTGTTTAAAATTATTGCACACTAAAACAATCCTAGATACATTAGAATAAGGTTGAAAATTGTATGCGCTCATGCGATCATGAACAACTTCTTGGATATGCGGCATAATTATATTCCCTTGCTAATCTTTATCGAGTAAGTGTGTTGTTTTTGTTTTATTACTAAATACAAATATTTCTTACTATTGACACAGATTAAAATTATAGAGACTGACGTAAAGAGATAGCTCGATTAGTAAAGCAGGCTTCGAATCCCGCTGGTATCATCAACTTTGGATCTACAATAGTTGAATATTATTCAAACACTGTGTTTCAGCTATATTGACTCAAATTTTATTAAAATTGGTTCAGTATTTTAGGCGTGAAATAAACAAACTCTGATGCCTTTTCTAAGTATGCATTAGTGGGATTATTTAGTATGCATCTCGTCGTTTCATTTATAAATGATTACCAAATCAAAACATGACACCAATGACCTACAAAGAGGCAATCACCACTTCATAAACATTGTAAGCAAATCGTACCCGCCTACAATAGGCCGTTACATAATTCATAAAAGTTAAGACAATACTCCGTATTGGCTCATCATAACTTGTAAATTGACTTCAATTCATTCTTTAGCTGATCTGGTGACCATAATTTGTTGGTTAAATCAAACTTCTCTTAATTATTTAAATAAAACAGTTTAAAATCGGTATTTGAATTATTTATCATTGCCAGAAGTAAATAAGTTTAACTAATATATATTGCGTTTTAAACCGTTAAAGTGTTCTATTTAAATAAGTACTACTCATGTGAAGTGCAGACAACATTTTTCTAAATTATTCAATTAAAATATATCAAACATTTTCTCATTAAAAATATATAAATAAAAACAGTATTAATAATATATTATGTTTTTATATTGTTTTCGACGGTTACATTATAGACATTTTATTTTTTCCACTACTGGGACTTGAATCTGATGATAATTGGCGGAAAAGTGCAGGTTGGCAAAACTTGATTTTTTTTAATGTCTTATCATCCTATATACTGTCTATTAGTAAGAATGAACAACTTAGCCATAAAAAATACACAAATCGTGTTCACATTACCGTACTCTTCGTTACAAGTTCATTGTATTGGTCATTATGTAATCAAATTTGTGTACTTAGTCTGACATACTAGACTTCAGTCTGTCTGATGTATGTTGAATTAAACTGTGATTGCAAGAGATAACACCTAAAAAGGTATGTTTTTTTATCTGTGCTAAAATAAAATAGCAGGGTTACTAATTATATTATGTTTCTTATCAATAAAGCATATAACGCTTTTAAACGTGGAATATATTAGTTACTAATTTAGAATTAATTTTAATTACGTCTCGATGTTTCGTAACTGTTCGTTCGTGCTGCAAAGCATCCCAAACATCAGTCATAGTCAAATTGTAAATAATTCAACTATATTGCATGTTTTAAACAGTTTGATAATATTTTATTTGAATACTACTCGCGTTAACTACGGACAATACTTAATAATATTACACCTCAAAACACATCATTGACATACATAACTAATTATTGTTTACGCCTTTTACACAAGTCGTAACATAGTGAAGAATAAAATTGTGGCTTCCAAAGTACAACATAACACACAAATATACAACACAATTAAGATTGCTTATAATTCACTATAATTATATATTACTAGCTGCGTCAGCGACTTCGTCCGCGTAGAATAGTTATTTTGAGCTCTTCAGCTTTATACATTTTTACCTGTTACGTCGGCCGCATCCTGTTTTCTTCTCTCCTTTTACTCAAAGCGCGATTATAGCATAGCTTTTTTTTGATCAATTTCAATTTTTTAGGACGTATTTCCTGAGATTAATACGTTCAAACGAAGAAACAAACTCTTCAGCTTTATAAATTAGTATAGATATTAACGAAGTTTCGCTCGATCTACGTTGACTCGTTTCGCTTGAAGGTCTAAGTTCACGGTATATTCAAAGTAGGTTTAATCTAAACATTGATATTACAAATGAGAAGGATTATTTAAGGCTTCAACGACCAATAGATTAGGAAAAATATTCTTTATAATTATGTATCAGTATTTGCAAATATTCATAAGCCTTCAGTTAAATAGTTAACGTATTGTGTTGTAGCATGGCGTTAAGCACGAGAAGTCCTAGGTACGAATTCCAGGAAAACATTCAACTGTTTTACCCGGGCATGGCACAGAAGACTTCGACTCAGACTCAAGCGGAGACAGAAATGTGTCCTATGCCCCACTGGAGGAAAGGGGATTACATTTTTCTATAAATAATTTATCACCTTAATACTAATTATATATATTGTTTTTTGCCGTTATTGGCCTGCGACTCTGTAGGAAATAAGTATTCCTCTTTTGCTAAATATTAATTTTAAATACTGTCTGTTATTTGCACGAGTAGTTAACATTTAATTGAAAAATTTTAACGGTTTAAAACGCGATAAATAATGGTTAAACTTATTTGAAAATTATTTTAACTACGGCCCGACGTTTGGGATGCTTTCATACTTTGACGTCAGAGACACCCTCCATATTTAGTCTCCCCCGTGACCACAGCTGTTGCAAAGCATCCGAAATCGGGCTAGTAAAAATATTTCATATAAGTTTAACTAATATATTCGCGTTATAAACGGTTAAAGTGTTTTGTTTAAAAATATTATTTTTGCTGAGTTAGCGGTGTATCGATGTTAACGTTGAAATCGGATCGCTAACACCGGACCCTTATTTTTTGCGAGTTTATTAGAATACACTTGACACTACTCGGAAATTTTACGACTTCCTCGGCTTAGCGATGGTGAAACGCTGACTGAGTGTTTTACGTAAAATTTATACACATTTTGTTAGTCGTATTATTTTTTTCATGATAATTAATATAAAATGAGTAAACAAATAGAATCCATACCTCAAGTGTTGCCTCGCGTTAAGCACGAGAGAGGTTCGAATCTCGGGAAAAAAAGAAAAACTCGATCACTGAAATGCATACAGAAATGTGTTTTCTCTCTTTTTAGAGTGGAGGAAGAAGGGAAACTCGAAGGTATTTTTAAATATTTTTAGGGCGAGTCATTTTATTATAGTGCCTTTCTTACTTCACGGACGAATCCTGGTATAAAGCATAATTATTACTGGTAAAATATCTTTCGTATAACATCATTTTTTGCAATTACATACAGTTGATTATTTGGATAATAAAAGTTATTACTTTTATTCCAATTCTAAGCGACAATTGAATCTTTTAACGCCGCAATAAAAATTAAATAAATTTCCTGAAATAGAACGCGTATGTTTATAAATAAAAGCCTTACATCTAGATGGTAAGGTAGGCGAGAGGTCTGACGTCATACCTGGATTTAGCGACTCCAAACTTGTAATTTTGTTTGTATATTTCACTCGAGACCATAGACTTATTAATTTATAAGACAGAATTCTACGATATTTACCTATAAAATAATCTACTTTAGAATCCGATAAATTACTTTTTTCTGAAAATATTTTGGCAAATAAAATCTCACCATTTAAAAATGAGCCTAAAAACGAAAGTACAAACTACTATACAACTAATAACCTGGCAATAGAAAGCTAATTGCGTAATCAAGTATATTAGGAATTGATTTATTTAAGATGTGGAGGTATAAAGCACAACACAATATGAATCATCTAGAAATAAGAGTGTTATTTATTAAATACAATATTACATGGAAAATTAATTACTTAAGATTTTTCACAAAGATAGAAGCAACGTTTTCTTTTTATTTATTTTTTGTTCAAACGTCAATGTCAATGTCTCGGTCACAGAGCTTACATTTATAATCCTCGTTATTTTACACCAACAAAATGTTTATGTTATAGTTAATTTTGATGTTAGCCATACCTTAATAACCAATAGTTTTGGCATATCGTTATTGGTAATTGGTAGAATAACATACAAACACATTGTATATCGCAAATGAAAATATTAAGGATTCAATAAGCCATTATCCATTAATATCTATGTACTCTTTGATAACGCGCGCCCACGCACACACGTTTGTAAACAAATTAATTACGGAGATAAACTAAATTAAAAAGTTGTCCTTTAGCGCGAAATATATGGCACATTATCAGGTAGTGTATAGAACTAGATTGAATAAAATGTACATGAAAGGATGAACAAAAAAATATGCCATTTTGTTAGTCAAATGTTTTAGAATCATAAAACAATAGCGAGAAGGGTTTTAGCAATGTCGATATTTCTACGACGCATTTAATGTTTAGATTTCCAGACGAAGTCCAACCATGTTAGACCCAATGGTGACAGAACGAATTAGCTATATGTTATTATTGATACTCTATGCGACGACCCCGTCATCGCTCCCGTTTTAAACCGTTTATTTTTTATTAATTATG